GGAGCGGCACCGGGCGGCGGCGGGCACTCGGCCCCGGTAGTGCAGCGGGATCAAGGGGAGGGGGATATAAAGTGTCCCCGTCCCTACCCCCAGTGCGTGCCGCGAAAGGAGGTCAAGTAGCCAATATATAGGTCGGCGGGGTGGTCAGCCAGCAGCAGTGTCGCAGCCTCACAGGGAACCCAAGTGTGTGAATGCCGCAAACTTTGAGGTGTGTGAACGTCGTTCGCACACATTGCGGCACAAGTAGCGTGTAATTTTTCAAAGGAAAATTCTCACTTTTACTCTCTCCGTAGGTGTAGTACCGGGTGATTTACGAATAGGTAATTATTACACACCCACACGTGTCCGACATTCAGACACTTGACACTTGGGTTTCCAAGTGCTGGGTCGCAGAGCGGCGTGGTGCGCGCGACCGTGCAGACGGAGACAGACAGGACAATGCCGAAGCCGAGCGGATGCCAAAGGGCCGAGCGGGAAGTTTGTTCCGAGTTGATCGACGGATCCCGACGGCGGCGGCGGCGTTTTGGTCGAATCACTCAGAGTTGAATCACTTTCCTACTTTCGTCACGGCGTCACGGCTGCCGGACCGAGGGGCTGGACTAACCTTGGTAAACTCTGCTGGTTGGCGTGCCGGCGGCGACACGCCGCTGCCGTATTTTCTTATATATCAAACAAAGAGTTAGACGTTTTTACGTTCAGCGAGCCCATTAGGGAGGTAGGAGAAAGTGCTCTGCACGACGCCCCCCCCCCTCCCCTCATCTTAGCCAGGTTCGTCCCCCCCCCTCCTCGCTTGCCGGTCGGGCAAGTAAGAGGCGTCCGGGGAAGCCCAGGTAGGTAACAACCAAACCGTAGCAGTGGCCGTGGTCAGGTCGTTGACCAGGACTAGGCCAGCCTGCAGCCTGCTGGGTGGTACGTACAGTACAGTGCGCACCTCAGACGGCGGTGGTGCGCAGACGACATCAGTTCAGTCAAGTCACGGTCGCATCTCTAGCTTCGGTCACATCGACAACTCGACGAGTCCTTGCCCAGCTGTACAACATAAAAGTAGGTAAGGCCAGCCGACACTGATTGTAACCCCTCACTCTCTATGTACTACGCGATCCCAAAAGGGCTGACTTTCATACACGTGATACCGGTTAATACCCATTTTGTGCTTTGCATTTTGCCCTCAGCATGGAGCAGCTGCCGAACGACTTGCTGCTCACGGTGATGGAGTACTTGCGGACAGAGGACCTCTTCGCGTGCCGCCTTGTGTGCAAGAAGCTTGGGGCGCTGGCGCTGCACCCGGGCGTGTGGCGGCGCCAGCGCTGCAGCAGCGGCAGGGCCGGGACCGGCGACAAAGCGGTGTGCCGGGTGCTGCGCCTGGCGCCGCGCCTGAACAAGCTGACCCTCCGGCTCGAGGGGAGGAGCCACCACGTCTCGTACGACAGGACGAAGTGCGCCGTGAGGGAGCTGGAGCTGGAGATGAACGCGTCCAGCGCCGTGCTCGCCAACCTCATGATCCGCAACCAGGAGGCGCTCGGCCGGCTGAGACGCGTGGCGTTGACCCTCTGTGACGTTGTTAAGGCCGAAACTGGCGCGCTGTGCTTGACGTTAGCGACGTCGTCTGTCTTGAAGAAGCTAGAAATTAAATGTTACTCGTACCCGCCTCGACTTCCCTTCGCGGATGGTCTGTCCTGCACAGTGCACACTCCGTCCCTGGAATATTTCCAGTGCAGTTTCCAGTTGGCGTCGGAGGGCTTCATTAACTTCGTGCTGGCCGGGCACGCCTCGACCCTGAAGGTCGTCGACCTCGGGGACAAGGATCGCATGACCGCGCGGTCGAGCTCGACGGCGTCCCTGCTCGCCGGTGTCGCCCACCTCCAACAGCTGACCTGCCCGCTGCTCCCCTCGATGGAGGACCTGGCGGCGAGCGCTTCGCTCACGAACCTGACCCTCTACGTGTCATCCGCGATGAAGCAAGTCGCCCCCGCGGCCGCGAACTTTTTGCGCCGCGCTCGGCACCTGCGCGACGTCACCCTATGTTACAGGTCCGACGACAGATACCCGGCTGACGTCGGGGTCGACCTGGTCGGGGCGCTAGCCGGCACGGGACAGAACGGCGTGCAAGTCCTGAACATCGAAAACACGATCTGGCCTGATGATGATGATGACGGCGAGGGTGAAGGTGAAAGAGTCCCCTACCCCTACCTTGAACCGCTGGCCAGGGCGCTCCCCTCCATGCCGGCCCTGAGCTCTCTCTCGGTGGATGTGTTTGGGGTCCCGGAGGAGCTGCTGGAGGCCATCTCACCGGACACGGCCCCGGCCCTGGACACCCTGCGCCTGACGCCTGAGGGTCCAGACAGGGGTGGTGACCGAGACCAACCCGAATGCGCTCACGGCTGGAGGCACGAGGACTCAGTCGAGAAGTTTCTCGCTCTAAATCCCAAAATCAAACTGAGCATACGCTGTGAAAGGATGAGTTGCTATAGTGAAAAATACTCAAAGTGGAAGTGTCAATCTTGCAAACAAGGTTGTCACATGCAGCACTATCGGAATAGCAAGACATACTTGTACTGTTGGGCGAGGATGTTTCCAGATTCAGAATTATCGTCTTCGAATGTACAATGAAATGTTTTGTAGGTGTCATGTATTGCATATGAAACGTAGTAACAATAAATTTGCAAAACACTGGTACTATTTGTTATTGCTGTTCCAGCTGGAAATTAGAACATGGAACCATTCCCAAGCCAACGAAATGGACAATTTCGAGATGTACTGATTTGTCGGGGGTTGGGGTTAAATCCCGTTTCATGACTGCATACTGTTTTTTCGTGGCCCTGACTCACCGTACTAACCATCCTTCAACCGCGAAGTGTGGCAATTCCTCAGCCCTAGCCCCCAGCACTCCTAGTAGCACTCCTAGTAGCACGATATCGGCCGGCATCGGCGTTAATCCTTCGGAAGGCGCACTGAATGCATGCTAAAGGTAGGGAGAAGAGTCTGGAATGTCCCAGACGGCGTGCGGAAGCATAAGCGCCGGGAGGCAGGAGATGCGAGCTCAGCGGACTTGGTCTAGAGTGTGTCCGAATAGACCTTTTCGCCCACAACGTGGCAACACAGCAAATAGAATTTTATACTTGAGATAAACCGTATTTGTGCAGCTACACAGAAGGACCGCGGTGGGCTGTGGGGAGGGAGGGGGGGGGGGCTGGGCTTGCACAAGAAGAGTGGCGCCAGCCTATGGAACAGCCCAGAAACAGACGCCGAAAGGTACATGGATGAATGCTGAGCGAATGCCCGACACACACTTTTTCCGAGATTGATTCAGAACCAGTGTTGCCAACCAATACGCCGTGTTAGCGTACGCCAGCGTAAAAGAAAACTACAAATTCTTAGCGCTCAGCGTTCGTCTTCCGTTTCTCCACTTACCAACACCCGAGACACCGCGACGGCCGCGACCACCACGAGCACCCCGCGAGACGACAAGTCGCGGGTCGCGAGGTGACGGTGAGAGGTGATCGGCGGTGTTCGTTGACTCGCGAGCGACCCTATGGCCGGGTAACCTTGCGAAGATATCGCGACAAGGACGTGGATAGGCACACCCCCCTGGCCCGACTGATTCTGGGCGCTAGGAGCGGATCCTGAGGGAATGCCCGACCTGGCCCGACGCACGCACTGTCCCTGATACCAACTTAATACGCATATCCAACCAGTGTCACACATTCAGCGTAAGCGTACGCTTGAGCTAAGCGTAAAAACGACCAACAAGTTTGTTTGTTGTGTCTTGCGCTTCTCGTTAAACAAAACCTCTGCTAAGAGTAATCATTTGTGGATACTTTTGATTCTGTGGGGCGTGGGCAGAGTGACTATTCACAGCACAGTCGTGCAAACACCGTGTCGTGTGGTTGCGTGGTTTGACGGACACAGATACTAGCTTCTTCTCGACAATACTTTATGTTCAAAATTGATAATTCTGTTTTAATTTATTCGAAGTTTGTTTGTATTATTTTTTGTTGTGATCAGTGTAAATAAGTGCCGATTTAAAGTAGTGCTTTGATGTGTTAGTGCCTCCTCTAACTAACACTTAACCTCTCTTCGTCGCCCGAGCCGGTTTCGCGACGTCTCCACCCAAGTTCACCTGTTGTTTTTATATAAGTTTACGGATCCGTAATGTCGACATTTGATCGAGTCGGTGTTGTGTGTCTTGGGGACTGATTCATCGATCTGCTCTTCAATCATCACCTCTGTGGCCGCACTTTGGCTGCTCCTGGACTCTCTGGAACATGATGGACAACTCAGTAGTAAGTCAGATTATTCTCATCATAGTTCTGTCAGGTACTGCACATGCACATGCATTCTGCTGTGCACTTCACCATCTTAGTTGACTTCTGACTATATTTTTCTGAGTGGAGACTTTGCGATGGTTCAGTTAGAGGCTGCTGCGCTGAATCAGTTACGTCACGAGCCAGAGAGGTTGTTTTTTTTTTTTTAATTTATGGACAGGGAAGGGGAAATGGTAACTGAGATTGAATCCTTAGTCCTTTATTTTTCCATTAATGATACCAGTTTCTTTGCATAATCCTGAGAAGAACAAATTTTTCTTCTTATAGTGTGGATGCTGTCACTGATATCAATGTCTGCGAATCAACTGGGTCCGTAAAGTTTTGCACAGCTAAGTTAGTCATTCACCAGCTGAGCTGAGTTTGTACAAAACTCAACTACATTATAGCGCAGTGCATGCTCCAGGGACAAACACACAGTCTAGCCTACTCGGATTCTTGGGGCCGCAAGGAACTTCACTCGACCCAAACCTTCCCCAATGCAACCTCCCTCCTGCCCTCCTGTGGGGCCCACATAGCACAGGCTCCAGTGGGCACCAGCGGGCTGGCTCCCTCCAGGAGCTCCAGGATGCCAACTAAAGGCGGAGTGGCGCGGCGTGTCTGGGCCGCAGTGCTGGAGGCTGAGGTCGGGGGTTGGTGGGCGGTGGGGGCGGCGGTGTCGGAGTGGAGGCGCTGTAAGGCGAGTGCGACCACGTCGCGAAGTAGCGCCGCCGCCGTGCGGTCTGGCCGGGG